CCTGTGTTCTCCTCAAGGATGTTGATGGATTCCTTTCTCACATTGAGGTCCTTCATCCATTTTGAGTCTATTTTCATGTGTGGTGTAAGGAAATGATCCAATTTCATTTTTGTGCATGTGGCTGTCCAATTTTCCCAACACCATTTATTGAAGAGGCTGTCTTTTTTCCATTGGACATTCTTTCCTGCTTTGTCGAAAATTGGTTGACCATAGAGTTGAGGGTCTATTTCTGGGCTCTCTATTCTGTTCCATTGATCTATGTGTCTGTTTTTGTGCCAGTACCATGCTGTCTTGATGATGACAGCTTTGTAATAGAGCTTGAAGTCCAGAATTGTGATGCCACCAACTTTGGCTTTCTTTTTCAATATTCCTTTGGCTATTCGTGGTCTTTTCTGGTTCCATATAAATTTTAGGATTATTTGTTCCATTTCTTTGAAAAAAATGGATGGTACTTTGATAGGAATTGCATTAAATGTGTAGATTGCTTTAGGTAGCATAGACATTTTCACAATATTTATTCTTCCAATCCAGGAGCATGGAACATTTTTCCATTTCTTTGTGTCTTCCTCAATTTCTTTCATGAGTACTTTATAGTTTTCTGTGTATAGATTCTTAGCCTCTTTGGTTAGGTTTATTCCTAGGTATCTTATCGTTTTGGGTGAAATTGTAAATGGGATCGACTCCTTAATTTCTCTTTCTTCTGTCTTGTTGGTGTAGAGATGTGCAACTGATTTCTGTGCATTGATTTTATATCCTGACACTTTACTGAATTCCTGTACAAGTTCTAGCAGTTTTGGAGTGGAGTCTTTTGGGTTTTCCACATATAGTATCATATTATCTGTGAAGAGTGATAGTTTGACTTCTTCTTTGCAGATTTGGATGCCTTTAATTTCCTTTTGTTGTCTGATTGCTGAGGCTAGGATTTCTAGTACTATGTTGAATAGCAGTGGTGATAATGGACATCCCTGCTGTGTTCCTGACCTTAGCGGAAAAGCTTTCAGTTTTTCTCCATTGAGAATGATATTTGCGGTGGGATTTTCATAGATGGCTTTGATGATATTGAGGTATGTGCCCTCTATCCCTACACTTTGAAGACTTTTGATCAGGAAGGGATGCTGTACTTTCTCAAATGCTTTTTCAGCATCTATTGAGAGTATCATATGGTTCTTGTTCTTTCTTTTATTAATATGTTGTATCACATTGATTGATTTGCGGATGTTGAACCAACCTTGCAGCCCTGGAATAAATCCCACTTGGTGGTGGTGAATAATCCTTTTAATGTACTGTTGAATCCTATTGGCTAGTATTTTGGTGAGAACTTTTGCATCTGTGTTCATCAAGGATATTGGTCGGTAGTTCTCTTTTTTGATGGGATCCTTGTCTGGTTTTGGGATCAAGGTGATGCTGGCCTCATCAAATGAGTTTGGAAGTTTTCCTTCCATTTCTATTTTTTGGAACAGTTTCAGGAGAATAGGAATTAGTTCTTTTTTAAATGTTTGGTAGAATTCCCCTGGGGAATAGGGGATAAAAAGAGGTTCAGAAAGAAAAAAAAATTTTTTTAAAAGAAAATGAATAAAGAAAAAATATAAAAAAGAAGAATATATATATATATATATATATATATATATTAGATAAACTAGTTAAAAAACATTAAAAAAGAAAAGGGTAAAAGTTAAAAAAAAGTTTGGCAGAAGAGGAGAAAAAAAATTGAAAAAGAAAAAAAAAATTAACTGCACGGCTAAAGAATCATGGGGAGAAAGCCATGAGTTCCGTGCTTTGCTTTCTCCTCCTCTGGAATTCCGCTGCTCTCCTTGGTATTGAAACTGCACTCCTTGGTAGGTGAACTTGGTCCTGGCTGGATTTCTTGTTGATCTTCTGGGGGAGGGGCCTGTTGTAGTGATTCTCAAGTGTCTTTGCCCCAGGCAGAATTGCACCGCCCTTACCAGGGGCCGGGCTGAGTAATCCGCTCGGGTTTGCTTTCGGGAGCTTTTGTTCCCTGAGCGCTTTCCGTAGAGTTCCGGAGGACGGGAATGAAGATGGCGGCCTCCCAGTCTCTGGCCCGGAGGAGCCGAGAGCCCAGGGCCCCACTCCTCAGTGTGCCCTCAGAGAACAGCGCCCAACTACTCCCGTCACCCTGCCTCCGGCCGTGCTCCGAGCTGACCAAGCCTGCGACCAGGTCAAGGTAACCCCGAGCTGAGAGCTCACTCCTCGGCTCTGTCTCTGTAGCCGGCTTCCCCGTCCTAATACCTGTAAGCTCTGCGACACTCAGACAACCCTGATCCTTCTGTGACCCTGCAGGACCCGAGGCCATGCTGACCCCGCGTGGGCTTCGCCCCGGTTAAGACTCTGGAGCGATGTCCTTCAGCGGAACAGCCTTTTAAAAGTCCTGATTTTGTGCTCCGTTGCTCCGCCGCTTGCCAGGAGCCGGCCCCTCCCCCCATGGTCTATCTTCCCATCGCTTTGGATTCACTTCTCCGCCAGTCCTACCTTTCAGAAAGTGGTTGATTTTCTGTTTCTAGAATTGCTGTTCTTCTTCTCTTCGATCTCCCATTGGATTTGTAGGTGTTTGCAATCTTTAGATAAGCTATCTAGCTGATCTCCCGCTACCTGAAGTAGTCTCAGCTGCTACTTCTCTGCCATCTTGACTCCTCCTTTTAGGTATTTTTTAAAGTTTGTAATTAACTCATTCTTTTTCTATCAGTTCCTGGATGCCTAAGAGGACACATACAACAAGACCACAGCCCTCCATTAAAAACTCCAGATACCCAAGCAAAGATGAGGCTCATGCTCCTTTTCCTTTCTGAGTCTTTAGATGCTCTTACTGTATCTGCTCTCATCTCCTTGGCTTGCATTTGATTTCCATCCTGCATGAAGCAAGCACCCACTTGGCTGGTCCTGTGAGACCCACTCTGGGTCCTTGGATTTGGGTTGCCTGCATCATCTTGGTAATTATGAAGTGACCCTCAGAGGAACAATGGTACCCCAAAATTAAGTCTGCACAGCACAATTTGACTTTGGGGGATTGCCTACTCTGTTGGCGTAATGCTGCTGTAATTTCTGTCTCTGTGCACCTCTGTGTAACTGGTCTATTTTCTGGGGAAAAGGAAAACTGGGAGAGCCGATATGGGACCTATTCTCATTCCCTATTCTCACTCCCTGTTCATTCCCTGTGCTCTGGATTGCTTTAGTTGGCTCTGAAACTTTACTCTCACTTTAATTTGAAGATTCTCTGGTTCAGTTCTTGGACAGTTTTTCTTTAAGGCTATTAGCTGGCATAAGAGACTGAATCACTCAGCTCCAAAGAAAAGGGACACTTGTTCCTTCCCATCAGAAAGTGTTTTTAGGTGACTAAGAACCCAGGGAAGGGTCAGAAGTTATTTCTTATGTAGCAGTCCCTATAGAGGAAATCTTCTGCATGATAACTTATTTGTGGCTTGCCGGGAACACACACATAAGACTGATCATCCAAGTCCTCCAAGCCCCCACAGTGATTTAAGACTGTCACTGGGAGAAACCAAGACACATTTGGGGATGATCAGCCTATTGGTGACTCTCTGGGAAGTTCTTCCCATAAGCAGCACGTTTGATCCACCACATGTTTTCCCTAGTATAGAACACAGACTTCTAAGTCTTTCTTTCTTTTTTTCTCATTGCTGGGTGGATATCTCCTCATTGTAATGATATGATGTTGGTATTGCATTGAGGATTGGTGGCCAATCCTGTTGAGGACCAAAACTCTTAGAATTAAGAAGTGGTCCTGCTATACCCCCAGTTGCACTGGGTTTTCAGCTTCTAGGGGTAAGATGCTGGTCACTGCCAGGTAGACATTGCGTCCTTGAATGAGACATAGTGGATATTTCAGTGAGACACGTGGCAGACTGGTTACTGCTGGGTGGATGTCTGCTTGTTGGATTTCCTAGAGACATGTAATCTACCAAAACTAAAGCAATAAAAAGAGAGAGAGAGAGAGAGAGAGAGAGAAAATTTGAGCAAACCAGTTACTAGCAATGAAATTTACTCAGTAACCAAAAAATGCCCCAAAAACAAAAACTGGGACCAGATGGCTGCACAGGCAAATTCTACCAAACATTTAAAGAAATGTTAATACCTATTCTCAGACTATACCAAAAAAATACAAGAGGAAGGAGAACTCCCAAAGTCTTTCTATGAAGACAGTATCACCTTGATACCCAAACCAGATAAAGACACCACAAAAAAGAGAACTACAGACCAATATCTCTCATGAATAAAGATGCAAAAATCCTTAATATCCTTAAATCCTGTATATATAATATTATATAATATATAATAAGAATATATGGGATATGTAATATAATATTATATAATATATAATAATTTATTTAACAGAATATATAATTAATAATTATAATTATTAACAATAATTAATATAATATAATATATAATAATTTATTATGTATGGTATTATATATAATAAACTATATATAATATATACACATTATTCAGCCATAAAAAGATTAATCCTTGTCATTCATGACAACATGGATAGAGCTAGAGAATGTAATGCTAAGTGAAATAAAGTAGAGAAAGACAAATACCATATGATTCCACTTGTATGTGTAATTTAGGAAACAAAACAAATGAACAAAGGTTAAAAAAGACACAAACTAAAGGACAGACTCTTAGCTACAGAGAATAAACTGATGGTTACTGAAGGGGAGGAGGGGGAAGTGGGATTAGAGAGTATGTTATCATGATGAAAAAAATAAATACCAAAAATGGGTTTGTTAATTGAAAGCCATCACCCAGTTTTAAATATGCATAAAAGAGAGTTTAACTAGATATTCAACTTTTGAGAGGTACTATTACTTGAAAATGAAGAGAAAAATGATTATCTAGAAGACTGTTGTGTTTCACTTTTATTTCTGATGGCAACTAGAAACTAAGCACATTTTGATATTATTGGGTTAATAATATTATTGAAATAACTCATTCCTGTTGTTTTGTTTTTGTTTTGGTAGAGAGATGCTGAATTCCAGGAACATGAAATGATTCTGTCTCCAGATTTTCTTTCAGCTGCTCAAATCACTGAAATGCTGACAGAGGACATAGATGGAGTTCAACAGTAAGCATTTCAATATAACAACCAAATATAAAACAGTTCTAATTCTGCATCTATAAATGATCACAATATCCTATTATATATTTTAAACTTTTTTTCTAAAGAATTGTTATTATACATGCAAATATAGATAGATATATAGATATAGATATAGATATATCTCCAAATATATATAATCTCCAGAGTCTGGAACACCAAAATTCTCAAACAACTGACTTTTTACACTGCTCAGCTGTCGTCTTTATGCGAGAAATGCATTTCAGACCAACATGCAAATGTTAACAGAGAATAGGGATTTATTGTTAAAAGCAGACTTTAACATATGCTGTCTTCTACTTCTTTTCTCTTTCATTCGTAAAACTGTCAATTATGCACAGTAACCTTTAGGTCTTCTATCTCATCATGAAAAGAATAAGTTGTTTTTTCTGTAATATTAAGAATTAATATATTTTAATACTTTGGAAATTCTGAGTATTAGCCATCCACCTGTGATTTTTATTGTATATGAAGCTATACTAAATACTCTAATTTCATGTTTTTTTCCTAAAAATGTGAATATAACTGAAAGTATGGGAATAATTCTAATACATGTACATCTCATTCTCAAGACCGTTGATTTCTATAGCAAATCATTTACGTAGAACTCTAGTCAGATATATCTAACACACAAGTTCCTAAAATGTGTTTTGAGTAATCAGTCATCTTAGAAGTTATCTTTCTCTAATAATATGAAGACTGATTGACTATAATGTGTAGAGAGCCCACTTTACACATGATGTGATGTTCTGGACTGTAATGTCTCTTCTGCAGATCAGTCATCTGGATGTTAGGAAGGTATTGTGGACCATAATGGACAAACAGAAAATGACTCTGTCAGTGGCTATCATTTGCAAATCTTTCAAATATTGTGGAATAGAGGTGATTTACCACTAAGAAGGAAATATGACAGATGTACTGGCTGGAAGAGAAATCTGAGAAGGGAAGACATATTAAGAGCAGGCAAATGACACTGACAGGCCTTTTCCCGGGATGGTCTTCAGTTTCAGGGCCTGCAAATCTTGCTAGAAATCCTGGTATCTGTGATGTGGCCATATTGCTTACCATCTATATCTTTATAAGTATTAAGTCAATTAAAAATTTCACAGATTTTTAAACAAGTATATCATGGTAATTTTAACATTTTTATAGAAATGAATGGCCATTGGAAATTCTGAATTTTAGTATCAGAATGATTAGCAAAATTCTTTTATTAGTATCACTGATTATTTATGCTTTAAATATTTTCCATTTCTAGATAATTCCAAATATTGATCATTAAAGTGCAAAAAATAGGTATTTCATACTAGGCAAAATAATATGACAGATATTTCTTAGAGTTTATGATTTATTTGTATTAAATGTCAAAGATGCTATATTAAATTCAATTAATATTAAATAAAAGATAATGCAAACAAATTTTTTATACTTGTTTCATTCTTACCACATCTTAAGTTGTACCATACCTTGTGTGACGATCTTTTTTTCCCACTTAATGGCTCTCTTTGTTGCCAAATATTTAAATTCTAAAAGTATTTTTAATCTTTAAGTGGTGATGTCTAGGATAAAGGAAATAACACAGAGGGTGATACAGAAGTTAACTGTATAAAAACAACCAGGTTCAACATGGGTTGACCTTTTAGACTGTTTCATTAATAGAATTCACCTGAAGTAATCTCGGATTTTGGATATCAATTTTGGATAAATGACAGTGTTATGTCAGGAGCTATTTCTTTGCAGAGTAATTTTTTGAGGTTCTTTATAAGATTTTTATATTAGTAATCCTGAAATATTTGCAATCAATCATTCACTTCCCATTTAAAATAGCATTATTATAGATGGGGATTATATACTTTTCAAAATGACAGAAATATAATTTAGGTACCCTGTCACCAAGTAACAGAAGTATGCCAAAATCATGCAGTCTACAAAGCTATAAACCTATTTAAATAAATTATAGGAAATCACATTTCCCTACATTTTAAAATTAAAAACTGTTTCATGAAAGCAGCCAACCAAATGAAACATTATAGTATCATTAAAATATATTTCTAGATTATACTTCAAGTAAAGTTAAACCTCTGAGTACATTTCTCATGATCTCCTAACTATTATCAAACATTCTTGCTTTTAATGTAACCCTGATTTTTTACAGATACACCCAAATTCTTTTTGAAAAAATGTTAAGGACTAAATTAAAAATAACTAAACACAGAAATAACCCCGAGAGATCTTTTTTCTTTCTTTTTTTCTTAAAGATGTTATTTATTTATTTGACAGAGATCACAAGTAAGCAGAGAGGCAGGCAGAGAGAGAGGAAGGGAAGCAGGCTCCCCGCTGAGCAGAGAGCCGGATGCGATGCGGGGCTCGTTGCGGGGCTCGATGCGGGGCTCCATCCCAGGATGCTTGGGATCATGACCTGAGCAGAGGCTTTAACCCACTGAGCCACCCAGGTGCCCCTGAGAGATCTTTTAATAACTTTCCATAACCGGGCTTCCATGAGCTGTTCAGCTCTTGCCTTAAGGCTTATTTCTGAATATCATCATATTTAAAAAAAAAAAATAAGATGCATTCCAATTTCAAGAGCATGTAGGAATAATGTAGTACCTTTCCTGGGCTTCTTGATGAGATGAAGTAGATCATTACATCACCTGTCACTATAGTAAAACTTCCTAAATCCCAGTTAAGCATCTTTTTTTTTTCCCCATAGTCTCTAATGCCACAGCTATAGCCTTCTCTCCTCTCCCATGTCCCATCTTACCTTATCCCCAGACGAAAAACTTAAAGATTTGCCAGTAAAATGCATGGAATCTTTGCATTCAAATTGCAGCAGCATCTTGCTCCAGATGCTTCCCTGCATAAGCTCCTTTGGGGTGAAATATGTGAGCTGAGAATAGAAATGGTAAATATTCAGCCCTGCAATTCAAGTTGACGGTTAAGATTCAAATGGTACTAGGGAAGGTGGTGGAGGGGGGATGGGGAAGAGCAAAGATAGAGGTGGTCAAAGAAGTTTCATTAAAATACTCTTGGACAAATAGTTGGCTTCATTTACATATAATCAGACACTGAAAAAATGAAAATTAAAAGCAAAGAGCACATCAACTATTTAAGTCAAATATTTATTTTTTTTAAAGGAACAGCATGGAGATGGCAGATAAAATGTACAGTTAGAAGGAAGACTAACTGTTGGGAATAAAATGTGCAGAGATATTTGACTCCAGAGTTGATTGACTCAAGTCCTCCATAGTATCATCAGGAAATTTATAATTTTAGAATTGATTTTTCTTATGACTATAAGATGGCTACCAGTAGCAATCAAACATACTTATTTACTCTTGTATTTTTGTTCCACAGAATAAAATAAACCTCATCCTTAGGAATTAGAACAATTTAGGAGAGTGCCCACCACAGACCAGTAGTTACTATAGAAAATGCCATATATTGAATACCATTATATTGCATTATGGGAAGAGGGGAGATTATCTTAATTGGTTTAGAGGAATCAGAACTTACTTTTGTGGTTGAGGTCTACCTTGACACCACTGTAGATGAGATGGATGTTAGTGGTTAAATACAACATCAGCTTAATTTTTTCCCAAATTTGCTTCATCCTGTTGTATATATTCTGATTATAGAACCTATTTCAATATTGTGAATAATAAGGACTTCCTTTTTTGAAAATGGCAGTATAAAGTTGTCACACACCCACACACAGTCCTTCAGAAATCACATATAAGCAACAAGGAAATACCAATAACTTCTTTATCCAAACAAGGAGAATGCTGTATATCCAAACGACAAAATAGAGGATGACTGCCAGAAGCATTATAATTCAAGCAGAAATGGAAGAGAAAGAATGAGAAAGATATACATAGTTGAAGATCTTAGAGTGAGTTAAAAAACGTAATTATTCTCCTAGGTGAGAAGAAAACCCTGAAGTGCTATTTCAAGAACACTTGTTTGCAATAACAGGACAAGGATATACAGTCTTAGAACAGATAATTCCCATGTTTACAAGAAATGGTTTGTTTATGTGATGGTAATGAGAACCCATCCTACTTTTTTTTTTCCTTTCCCCCACTAATTGAAAAAAAGAGTAAAAAACTAGAATAAATGACACAAACTTACTCTGTACAGAAAATAGCTTGTCACATGGCCAAGTCTGAGTAAAAAAATCAAGGAATATGCATACAAAACAATTTTAAGAAAAAAAAGTAATTAAAGAATAGGGAGACAAAAACTGGCAAGAAAGAAAATACAACCAAATGAATATAGCCATGAGCAGCAAAAAAAAAAAAAAAAAAAGTCAAACATTTATCATGAATTTAAAAAGACAACTTATGAAGCAACCACAACAAGAGTATAAAATAGAGATATAAAAACCCAAGGAAGAGATAACAAGAAATAAAAGGTAATAAAGCATGTAAAAAGGCAGAGTAGAAAAGAGAGAGCTCTGTAAACAGCCCAAGGGGCAATTAACACTGCTGAAAACACTAAGGGACCTAGAAGACGGTATTGAGAAAAGTATAAAAAATGAAATGATTTGGAAAAAAAAATTTGAAGGTTAATAGAAAATTATAGCATAGACAAAATGAGTTGCTGTACTTCGAAGACAGAAGAAAGAAGAAGAGGAGGAAGGTGAGAAGGAGAATTACAAGAGACCAAATGGAAGAAGAAGAACAACAAGAGTGCTGACTCTTGCTCTCTTTATCTCTTCTTCCTCTTCCCTCTCTCTGTTTTCCTTTTGAATGTCATTGTGGACTTAGAATTTTGATACAACTATGAATATTTTTAGATTTAGGGCATTATAGAATTTTCATTCAAGAAAACTATTTGCATTTTCAAAACTTAGAAAAGGAGCTGTGCATTAATCTGGTTTTAATGTCTGGATTTTCTTTTTGTTACAGAAAATTGAAAACGTTTTTGAATTTCAAAAACCTTCACACCTGTCTAAAGGAAGCCATTCTACTAGATTATTATGTATCTGGATTTTTGTGGGCTAGAGGAATGGAATTTTCTGTTCTTCAATATTCAAAATTTATGACTTTACTAGATATGTTACTTCATAATCTTAGAAGTAAGTCCATTATTTTTTATTTTTTTTAAAGAAAATTTAGTCCACTATCTAAATTAATGTTCTTAAGCAAAAGTTTCTAATTTTCTTGTAATTCCTTCAGTGAAAATTATAGGGTTTTTTTCTGGATAGAGCAAAGATATATAGTTCAACCCTCCTTAAGTTGTGAAATTTCTAACAGTATTTAATAGGCTAAAGTTCTTTTAATTAACTTGCCAAAGATATGTTAACTTCATTTTAAAATCTTATCAATGCTGTATGTCCCCAAAATGTCATGTAGTTCACATTTATTTAGGTATTTTTTTCATTGTTTGAACTGTTTTCATTTTATCTTACCTACAAGTATTACTGGGATATCTCATAAATGACTAATGAGAGGAGGTACTTAAGTTGATATCTAAACCCCATTATATAGACATTACTCACATACACTTAGATTTTGTGACATTTTTTCTTATATAACTTTGGAATGAGTTACTATAGGAAATTTGGAAATTCTTCCTTAGAGCATTTTTCAGTTGATATATATATATATATATATTTTTTTTTTTTTTTTTCAGAATAAATACAATTGCTTTTTGGAAGAAAGAAAAGAAAGAAGTCTATCACTGATATATTGCCAACTCTGTGTGCTAGGCATTAGTTTGGTTCTAATCTTTAACATGCATTATTGAACCTCAGACCAACTCCTGCCTGGGAGGTATTATAACCACTACCTCAGTAGGTTAAGCATCTGCCTTCACCTCAAGTCATGATCCCAGTCTCCTAGGATCAGGCCCTTGTCAGGCTGCCTGCTCAGTGGGGAGTCTGCTTGTCCCTCTCGCCTGCTCGTGCTCTCTTTCTTTCTCTCTCTCTCTCAAATAAATAGGTAAAATCTTTAAAAAGCAAAAAGATAAATAATTGTACCAATAGAAGAAAAAAATAATTAAACGTGATAATGAAACTAATTTGTATGATATTAACTGATCAGATAGACTTTGGTTGTTTTTTTCCCTAATGAGGAAATGGATAAATATTTATAGAATCCTTGAGTACTACATGTCTCTAAACACAGTAATCTTTCAACACCATTGCCAAAATTACTTGGCAAACAAGGAACCATGTAACTCTCAACTTGCATGGAAAATAATAATAAATAGATGCCAACTATAAGATGAAATAGATATTGATATTATATGTTAAAGACTGAAACTGGTATTACAAAAGTGCTTAAATGAACAACCATGAACATCCTTGAAATAAATTTTAAAAAGAATCATGAAAAAAAAAAGCGGAAGGTATAAAGAAGAAATAAATGGAAATTTTGGAACAAAATTATACAATAACCGAAATTAAAATCTCATTAGATAGAAATAATAGCAAAATGGAGAAGAGACAAAAAAATCAGTGAACTTGAACATAGAGTGATAGCAATTATCTAATCTGAACAATACAGAGAAAAAAAAATTGGCAAACAAATGAACAAAACCTCAGGGACCTGTGAGAAAATTAAAGTTCTAATATACATATTGTTAGAGTCTCAGAAAGACAGCAGAAAGAGTATGTGCTAAACAAACATTTGAAGAAATAATGACTGAAAACTTTCCAAAGTTGGCAAAAGGCATAAATTTATAAATTCAGGAGGCTGATTGGACTATAGAGAGACTAAACCAAAAGAAAAACACCATCCACCAATTGGGTCTATTTGACATTTACAGAACAGTCCACCCAAAAACAGAATAGGCATTGTTTTCAAATCCACACGGAATATTCATCAAGGTGGACCGTATTCTGGGTCATAGAACAATCTTAAATTTAAAATAATTGAAATCAAATATGTTGTCTGATCACAAAGGGATTGAACAAGAAATTAATAGCAGAAATATACCAGGAAAATCTTCAAACACATATTAAACAATACAATTCTAAGTAGTATGTGGGTCTCCTATATCTAAACAGATACTAGAAAAGATTTGTAAGTAAAAATAGTTCATGAAAATTTATGTGGTACAGCTGAGTCAATGATAAGAGGGAAGTTTATGTCATTAAATACTTATATTAGAAAAAATCTAAAAATAATCTAAACTTAAGCCTTAGGAAGCCAATTTTAAAAATAAGCAGAAATCAAGCAGTAAAGAAAGATATACTAAAGAACAGAAATCAATGAAATTGAAAAAAAAAAAAACGCAATAGACAAAATCAATGAAACCAAAATCTGGATATTTGAAAATATCAATAAAACTGATAAACATGAAGCAAAACTTGACTAAGGAAGAAAAAAGATACAAGGCACAGATTGTCATTATCAGGGATAAAAAAGAGGAGGCTTTCACTACAGATTCTGTATACATTAACAGAATATTAGGGAAAAACTACTTATGTACATAAATTAGGAAACAAAAAGGAAATGAACCAAATCCTCCGAAACCACAAACCAGCAAATCTTGTGCAAGATGAAATAGATAACATGATATAGTCATGACTATTTAAGTGATTGACTTATTTAACCTTTAGGAAAAGATCTCCAGGTCTAGATATTTTCACTGGAAAATTCTATCAAACATTTAATGAAGAAATGCCACCAATTATACATAATCTCTTCCAGAAATAGTAGAAGAAAGAATTCTTCCTAATTTATTTTATGGGGCTAGAATTATCTTCATAGCAAAACCTGACAAAGACAGTGTGAAAGAGAGAGAGAGAGAGAAGAAGAAGGTGGAGGAGGAGAAAAAGGAGAGGGAGGGAGAGGAGGAAGAGAGCAGCAACGATAGCAAAAGGAGGAGGAGGAGAATCTACAGACCAACATCCTTCATGAACATAAACAAAAAATTTTTCAACAAAACATCAAAATGAAACAAGCAACCTATAAAAAGAATAGTACACATGACCAGTTGGGGTTTATCCCAGAAATCAATGCTGGTTCAATATTTGAAAATCTCATCAGTGTAAATATTCTAAAGAAGAAAAGCCACATGATCATATAAATATATGCAGAGAAAGCATTTGATTAAATACGACATCCATTCATAATTTTAGAAAAGAGTTAGAAAACTGAGAAAAGAAGCGATATTCTTCAACGTCATAGAAGACATGCACAACAAACCTAAACCAGTTGTTACACTTAGTGGTGAAAGACCAGATGCTTGTCCTGTAAGATCAGAGTCAAGGCAAGAATGTCTACTCTCACCACTCCTATTCAACACAAAACTGAAAGAAAGTCTTAGCAGTAAGTGCAATAGAGAAAGAAAAAGAAATAGAGGAGAAGGAGAAAATAAAAGTCCCTGTTCTCAGATGAAAGGATTGTCTATATAAAAAATTAAACAGAATTTTAAAAAATCCTAGAACTAATAAGATTGCAAGAATAAGATAAAACACAAAAGTCAATTGTATTTCAATGCGCTAGCAATATACATTGTATACCAGAATTTTAATAAATAGCATTATTTACAATAGCTCAAAAAATAAAAAATAAGCATAAATCTAACAATAATGTACAAGATCTGTATACTAAAAAACTACAAAATGATGATAAAAGAAATGAAAGAAAACCTAAATAAACAAAAAACTTACTGTGTTGTTGGATTAGAAGTTTCCACATGCTAAAGATGTCAGTTTTTCCCAAATTGATCTGTAGATTTAATGCAATGTCAATCTAAATTCTGGCAGGATTTTTCTCTATACATACCCAAGCTGATTTCTAAATTTATATGGAATGGCTAAGGAATTAGAATGGCTAAAGCAACTTCAAAAATAACGATAAAGCTCCAAAAAAGCATACACCCAATTTTAAGGCTTACTGTAAAGTTACAATAATAAAGTCAATGTTGAATTAGTGAAGGGATAAAAACATAGCTCAATGAAACAGAAGACAGAATTCAGAAATACACTGATGCAAAAGTGGTCATCTGATTTTTTTTATAAATATGTAAAAGCAATTCAACAGAACAGAGTAGTCTTTTCAACAAATGTTGGAATGATTTCTGTCTATATTGAAAAAATATATAGCTCAGCCTAAGCATTTTATTTGATACAATTAGCTCTAAATGGATCATAGGCATAAAGTTAGAATGTAAAGCTATAAATTTTTTAGAAGAAAATTGGGAGAAAATCTTCATGACCTAGGGTTTTACAAGAATTTCTTAGACATGACCCCCAGAACATGATGCATATAGGAAAAAAATGATAAATTAGACTTCATAAAATTATAATACTTTTGTTTTATGAAAAGTCACTGTTAAAAGAATGGACAAGCTACAGATAGGGAAAAATATCTGTAAATCACATATTGACAAAAGACTTGTCTCTGTAACATATAAAGAGCTCTCAAAACAAGAAGAAAACAAATAATCCTATTAAAAATAGGCAAAGCTATCAAAAGGCATAACTCATGTCAACCAAGAGGAAAATGTTAGACAAACCCAAACTGAGGAACATTGTGCAAACTATCTGACTGGTACCTCCCAATCTGGCAAGGTTATCAAAAATAGGAAAAGATTGAGAAATGTTCACTCTAGGGGAACCTCAAGAGACAGGACTACTAAATATAATGTGATATCATAGATGGGATGCTTGAAATTTCTTATTCTTTTTCTAGAATATTAAGTAAAAATTGAGGAATCTAATAATAATTTTAAAAATATATATGTAGAAAAAGAAAGGGATTTAATGAAAGCAAAATATATATGCACTCTAACAAAAAACTATTTAAGAATAAACTTTAAAAAGAAATGTACAAGTCTTATATGAAAAAACTTCATAACTTTTAAATGTCACAAGGAAGTTTTCTACATTTGGAAAAACCTTACAACATTCTTGGAAACACTCCACATCATAAAGAAGCTAAATCTCTCTAAATTAATATATAATATTAGTATTTCAATAAAAATACCAACAGTTTTTTGTTGTTGATGTTTTTGCCTGGGATGACTTACTAGGTAAGATGATTTTTAAAAAAATATGGAAAGTAAGCAAATACAAATTGTCTTTAAAAACTGTAATAAACCATAACATATCTTGTTATTAGC